GCCATCTCCGGCGCGAATGATGCCATGGCTACCACTGACGCTAACATAACCGTCCACGTCGCCGCCTGTAGCAGCGATGGAGACCATCCGTATCGCCGGAAAATCGAGTGAAGATAATGGAAGAACATGATTGATTTAGGAAGGATTTCATGTGCCGCTGTTGGCAGTTCTTTTAAAACGAAATGAAGGGGCATGACAGATTTATACAAAAAAATAATAACAATAAAATGGGAGAAAGAAACTACTCTTGACAATGGAAGATTTGTTTAATTTTTTTTTATTTTTTTGGGATTTGTTTAACTCCACGTCTTTTTCGCTTTAGAGACCACTTCAATTTTCCCCTTTAAGAAAATTTCATAGATTTATAAGTTCCAATAAAGAGCTGCAATGTCAGCCTGGTAAATATATAAATTAAGATGTTAAGCATGCTTAATTAGTTAGGAAATTGATATTTACCTCACTAGTGGTGCTTGTAATTAATATAGACCACACATTGAACATCAAGAAAAGGACATTGAGGGTACAATCTTGCTTAGTTGGGCATGATAGTCTACTCGCCATTTATATAAGGAAGCACACCTTCGATTGTGGTGCAAATTGCAAGAAGCACAACATGATGTAGGCAACAATGGGTCCTTTAGTATTCTAATCATTTGCTTATTGTAGTGGGGTAGGTGGTTCTACTTCTCAATTCTTTGATAGCCATTAGAAGTGCGAGTGAATGGTAACTACTAATTAACTACCTGAGTTTATTTTGCTGATTCAAGTATGTTGTGGCTTTTGAATTTTATGGAGTAAAAAGGAAAGGTGTGAAAAACTACTCATTTTCAATTAAAGTAGTTGCATACAAAGAACCAAAAGAAAAGGGCTAATTCCAATGATAAATAGCTTCTAGGGTCAAAACCCACAAAAAAAGTTAATTATCAATTTTAGTCTCTAAACTTTTAATTTGAAATATTTTTAATCACTTAACTATTTATTTGCACTTTTTTTGTTTTTTTTTTTTGAAAGATATGTATTTTTTTGGTTTTCAAAATGAAAATTTTTTCTAAGTCAGTTTGATGAATTTAATGATTAATGTGCATTTATAAACAGAATTAACTGATTAAGTGATTGAAAGATTAAAAAAAAAAAGGTATATTTTTCAAAGTTAAAGGTTGAAAAGATGCAAAAAAAAAGGTTGATGGACAAAATTAGTTCAAAATTAAAAGTTTTCGAGAAAATGTGTGTTTACACCTTAAAAATAAATTAATGAGATAAAGCCATGTGTTAAGAGTAAACCCAATTTTTAAGGAAATTAGGTTGATTTGGGTTGAGCCAACTTGGATTTCAATTGCCCAAAAAAAGTTATAAGGAGGTTGGATTTCAAGTGACAAAGGATAAGTTGGATTCTGGTATTTTGAGTTTGATTTAAAGTAGGAAGTTGAGAGTTTTTAGAGAGTTATCTTTAAGATTTTGTTGGAGATAAAGTTAAGTAAAAACTGTCAACTGCTAGACAGCTGCCAAACATAGAACCCCCACTACTTGATCATAGTGAGAGAGGGCTAAGAAACATGGAGGAAGTTTTCCAACACCGAAGGAAAGAAAAACAGGGAGAAAAGATCAGTTACAGACGGCCTACCCTACCCACACACTGCACAGAGCATGTTTTTCAACTTCCAAACTACTTTTTCCAGATTTCAGCAATAGTTTCTAGATTAGTTTACTAGATCTGTTCTTGTTCATAGCCTTAGATTAGCTTTTTCCATCCTTGTTCATATCTTTCATCAAAGACTTCAATTTAAGTTAATTTTTAAGCATTTGGAAGCAATTCAGCCTACAAAACAGGTCTGCCATGTTGATTTGGCTAGTTCCTCTTTCTTTTATGGATTCAGTTATGTTATTTGTTCATGTAAATAGGTCGAATGCTTTCTACCTTTGTTTTTTTGTTTCTGCACAACAGTCAGACATGCAGTTTATTTAATTTCAATTTTCAGATTTAATTTTATAAGTTTCCAGACTTTAATTATTTCGTAGATTCTCTTTTAGTTTTAGTTATCAAGTAGTTTAACTATTTTTATTTTAAATATGCAAGTAATTAAGTTTAATTATTATGGATTGCATAGTAGAAATCATTGTTTGTAATATTACAT